CCTACGTTTCTAGAACATACAAAATTACCTACTCTTTTAAACTGCTTAACTTGTTTCCTTCAAGTAGCAAAGTCTATGAAAAGAAAAATAACAAAATATTACAAACGAGGTATATTACAAAAAAGCTTTACAAACGTCTTAAGTATTGCTGTATTATTGCATGCACAACAGGAAATGAAAATCAAACAGTTTCTAGATTTTCTTTTCGTGTCTTGAATTTGAAATTTATCTTTCTTTGACAGTGACGTTTTACAGTTATTCTTCCACTAAAACTTTTTGAAAACATTAAGTTTGTGGAGCAATGTTAGAATATAGATGTAGTTGAAGGGCTCCAGCCAGAACCCAAACTAATATAAAAAAAGCGTTTCTTCCTTAGAAATATTTCAGGACACCCAGATGGATAACGTCACTTTACCATAAAATTTAGAATAATAATTGAACAAACCTTTAAATGAATCAAAGAAGAGATATCCTTAATTTCTGTGATGCTGTAGAAAGACAATACAATTATAGCTATAGATTACACTGTAAGCTATCCCTGTCACAACAGTATTCACTGGAAGTCTATGTTTCAGGAAATGCTGTTTTTCAAAGAACAGCTAAAACTTCATCATGCTTATAATGCAATATTACCCCACAATTCATAGATATATATCAAGGGAAGCAGGGTCTGTTATTGTTTAATATTTTTTATATTGCTTATGATATTATTTCAGGGTCTGATACTGTTTGATATATATGAACAAGTTGATAATGATGCATAGCAAAACTACTACTTGAAAGAAGGTAGATCAACTTAAACATATGACAATTTTAGTTCAACCACTGAACCCAGGATTCAATGCGGGAGGGGGTGTCCAGGTCCCACTTGATGTCAAATGGGTAAACAAGCCTGTCTGACTAGATGGCTCAATTTTAATATGAACTTTTTTTCCAAGGGGTATCTATCACATCACCATGCAACAACCCACAGACGAAAAACTCCCTGTAAGAGAATCTGCTATTTTGTCAGAAAAATTTCTGATCTTGTTCGAATTACACTTGGTCGTCTTTTTCTGAAAGTAATGATTTTGATTCTGACTATAACAATATTTCTTTCATTGTTTTGAATCAGATTGGCAATCTGTTTTATTTGATTTCTAATATAGTTGTGTTATGTTCAGTTTCGTGAAAAGTTTAAAATGCATTTCAGATTTTTGTTGGAAAATCTAAATTTTCCGCCCCTCCAACAGATTTTCCTATCTAGCCACTGATAATAAGTGGCACAGTTTCAAAGCTGGATCAGCTATCATCATAACTTCTGCAGTAAAAATCTGATTATATATTCTTAAAATAGAAAAACTGTTACCCATTATTTGAAAGATCCAGATGATGCAAAGATGTATTCTTGCTCAGACTCCTGATATCCTGAAAGAAAAATTGCTTTTATGAAATGGCCACAACCTCCGGCTATATCAGGCCTTGCTCTAAGCAAAATGGAGGTGCTCCGTGAAAAGAGCCCCTCAGAAACTCTAGGTGCTCCATTTCGTACCTCTAGGAATGAAATGTCCTTGAGAGCACCCTTCGAGAGCTTTGGAAGATTGTGAGCTTCATATCAAGAGCTTCGGAAGTATGTAAGATAAGAAATTCAATGGTGATACCAACATCATAATATGAAAAAAACAAAACATGCAACAAATACTATGTTAATAAAAATATAGAAATAAAATAAAACAATAGACATGTAAGTTGTCATTGCTTGATGAGCTTTTGTCACAGTCAGTATCACTACTATTATGTTGAGCTTCACATATTGCTTCATCAAAACCCATGGCTTTAAGTCGAACATTTAACTTTGTTTCCCTTTTTTATGTTATCCATTCCATAAGACACACTAGAATCTACTAGTCATTAAAGCAATGCAATAATTTGGACGGAAATATGATCTCTGATTTGCACAGGTGATTTTAAGTTATTTAGAAATAACAGAAAATAATACTTCAACAGAAGAATAACGCTTGCTCAAAGTCAAGTAAATCTGCTGGAGAAGAAACTTGATGGCCTGTGTCCTTGGTGGTTATTACAGGATTATTAGATTAAAAATGGAATCGAAAACCCAATGTTGTATTTGCTGAATTTTTCTCCCAAGGGGTAATCTTGCGAAAATCATAATTTTGCGGTCTGTTGGGAAGATTGTTTTTGCTTGATCAAGTTTATTCAACAAATGTCAAAAAATTTATATTTTGCTCCGTTGTAATATTGTTTTTACGTTTTGAGAGGTTCACTAAATCGCTCTCCAAAGCTTTTTGGGTGCGCTCTAGGCAAGCGCGCTCAATCAAGCACCTTTTCGAGCAAGGCCTGGTTATATTGCAGGGACCATGAATTGGGATCTGCTTTGGCATGGCCCTTGTCATACTCACATCAGTTGCCATTAATAGTTATCTATACAGACACACTAATTTTAATATACTAAACTTAAATTCAAAGTTAAGAAAGTAAACAAACTTCATGTCTTTGAGTCCAAGTGCCTTGCTGAGAAGCAGCAGTGGTATCACAAAAGATGATTAAAATAACTAAGAATAATTGCTGAACTAGCAAGATTTATAGTATATCTAACAGACTTAAATTTCTATAACATGTCCTGTAAGCTCCTCTCTAAATAAACAAAGGAATGCTTCATCACTTACTGTGATTTTATTTCCTGAAAGACATAGCCACTCCAAATGTGTGAGGTTTGACAGGCCTGAAATAGTGAATAATATTTAGACGTGATATACTGCTGATGAAATTGGGATAAACCTAAACTGGCTGATGGGCTATAGCTTTTAAGTGTTTTGCTTTGTATCCTTTCTAATGAAATAGAGCAGCCATAATTTCTTAAGATATTTTAGAGTTATTGTCATAAAAAGTTTTTGTTCATCTGTCCCGATTTCATTCCTAAAAACAATGAAGGGATACCTTTACCCCTAACATAAGGAAAATAAACACCTTGACAGTTAGAAGAGCAAAAAGTAAAAGAAGCTTTTGGATGCTTATTTTATGAATTTGCTGATCAAGAGAGGCTTCCTCCATTGAGCTTCAAAGATTGCTTCCCTAAAAGGACAACTTTTTTGCCAAACAAACAGACATAGAAATTGTGAGAAAGCAAAAACTATGCAAGAATAATGGCTTCTGCAAATTGTGGCTTGTTCATAAAATTTCTAAGGATTTGTCAGATCAGCTGGTTTTGTTCATTTTTGAAAAATTTTAGCCATTTATGGTTAAACCATTTATTATAACTTTATAAAGTTGCTAGAAAATGAAGTAAAAACCTGCATACCTTCTGCTGATATGATATTATTTTCTTTGAGGTCAAGCACTCGGAGATTTGAAAGATGGGTTATCTGATCAATTTGCACAAGATTGTTCCTTGCAACTGAAAGCTGTTTGAAATAGAAAATTCAACTCATTAAGCACCATTCACATTTACAATCTAAGAATCACAATAACGAGGTCCTTAACTAAGGTCTTTTCTACATGCACTTACACTACCTAGATGGAAATAATTCAAGAATGCAAAGAAGGATCATGATAAGTGGCTACACTGTTTGTTAGAGCCTCTGAATTACTCAAGTGAGCCATGAGTTTGAATTCTCCATTAAGCCCAGGATATGAAAGCAGGCAGTCATTATACAAAAACCAAGCTGAGATATTTTGTGCTCTTTTATGGTGAGCACATAAAAGCTTCTACATCAGGTTGTTTGTCCTGCCTTACATCTAAATAAATATACTATATAATTTATTCCTCAGAAACCAAAACAATAAGCAGTTGCAATGCAACCTAGATTCATTACCATTAACTTAGACCTAAAGACATTTTCAACTGAGCTACTTTCCTTTGAAACTAAAAAATTATGGAAATAATTATAATTATTCACCTCCTTTTGAGACCATCTAGCAATCTTCATAAAATATCTATATCTTCATAATCACAGACAAAAACAAATAAAGATTTAATATTTACCTTCTCCAATGACAAAACATTATGCAAGGCTTGAAAATTTGAAACCTGGTTATCATCTAAAATGATTGTAGTTGAATCTACCATTTCTTTGGGCAAGTAAATACTGGTCAAGCTTTTATCTGAAAAAAATGTAAGACGCTTGAAATTGTTATATCACATTGATATTGACTTTTATCATATCACATTTTCTCAGACTATCAAAAATTTTGACCTTGTTTGGTCAACCATATTGGTAACGTTTCCCCCAGTATAAGGCGCCCCAGTATACGGTCCAGCCCCAGTATAGGGATTGTCAATCAAGATTATGTTCTTAAGTGCCGCCAAAGCCGTTTCGGTTCGTTATCGTCGCGATGATAGATAGAAGTTATTTCAAGTCACAGCGGCTTCTCGGCCAGTAGACATTCAGCCATACACTTTCAGCAAGCGGCCATGTTGTAACAGCCGTACTTGAAAGACATTCGCGTAGCTCACCTTTAAAATATTATACCTTTAAAACTCATACAAAATATAAGTTTAGCTGTTTAAGTTTCGTTTTATTTTGCTCGTACCAAGTTTTGGTGCGACTATCGAGCCGAGTAACGTGGGAGCCTTTAGCAAGAATATAGGGCTCGCTCGTTCAGCTGACAACTACGGGGGTCAAATTGTTTCTAGGATACAGTTTTGAAAAAATCTTGACTGAAACTGTTTCGCCGGCCAATTGAAATCGTTGCACTTGCGTTTAGACTTTATTTGTTTTATTGTTTTGTGGGGTTCCTGGTGTTTAATGTTGCTTGCCTTGTTTATATGACGAGCATTGACTGGGGATTTTTATGAACTAGAAGTTAGAAGAAAGAGGGTTTCGCTATGTTCTCAAGGTTGCAAATCAACCTTTTGATTATATGCAGCATTCTGAAAATCAAGTCCACATGTCACATTGCGTTATTTGCTTGTTCAAAAATTATCTTCCCCAAGAACTACACCTCGGTTGTGGGAGACACGCGCGGGGCCTTCACCCCCGGGTCAGACATAGAGGATTCTCAGAGTAGCGCGGACCTCTGTACACTTTTGCATAAATTTTGCCTCTTGTATGACCGATTATACCTTTAAAACTCATACAAAATATAAGTTTAGCTGTTTAAGTTTCGTTTTATTTTGTTCGTACCAAGTTTTGGTGCGGCTATCGAGCCGAGTAACGTGGGAGCCTTTAGCAAGAATATAGGGCTCGCTCGTTCAGCTGACAACTACGGGGGTCAAATTGTTTCTAGGATACAGTTTTGAAAAAATCTTGACTGAAACTGTTTCGCCGGCCAATTGAAATCGGTGCACTTGCGTTTAAATTTTATTTGTTTTATTGTTTTGTGGGGTTCCTGGTGTTTAATGTTGCTTGCCTTGTTTATATGACGAGCATTGACTGGGGATTTTTATGAACTAGAAGTTAGAAGAAAGAGGGTTTCGCTATGTTCTCAAGGTTGCAAATCAACCTTTTGATTATATGCAGCATTCTGAAAATCAAGTCCACATGTCACATTGCGTTTTTTGCTTGTTCAAAAATTATCTTCCCCAAGAACTACACCTCGGTTGTGGGAGACACGCGCGGGGCCTTCACCCCCGGGTCAGACATAGAGAATTCTCAGAGTAGCGCGGACCTCTGTACACTTTTGCATAAATTTTGCCTCTTGTATGACCGATTATGCCTTTAAAACTCATACAAAATATAAGTTTAGCTGTTTAAGTTTCGTTTTATTTTGCTCGTACCAAGTTTTGGTGCGACTATCGAGCCGAGTAACGTGGGAGCCTTTAGCAAGAATATAGGGCTCGCTCGTTCAGCTGACAACTACGGGGGTCAAATTGTTTCTAAGATACAGTTTTGAAAAAATCTTGACTGAAACTGTTTCGCCGGCCAATTGAAATCGGTGCACTTGCGTTTAAACTTTATTTGTTTTATTGTTTTGTGGGGTTCCTGGTGTTTAATGTTGCTTGCCTTGTTTATATGACGAGCATTGACTGGGGATTTTTATGAACTAGAAGTTAGAAGAAAGAGGGTTTCGCTATGTTCTCAAGGTTGCAAATCAACCTTTTGATTATATGCAGCATTCTGAAAATCAAGTCCACATGTCACATTGCGTTTTTTGCTTGTTCAAAAATTATCTTCCCCAAGAACTACACCTCGGTTGTGGGAGACACGCGCGGGGCCTTCACCCCCGGGTCAGACATAGAGAATTCTCAGAGTAGCGCGGACCTCTGTACACTTTTGCATAAATTTTGCCTCTTGTATGACCGATTATGCCTTTAAAACTCATACAAAATATAAGTTTAGCTGTTTAAGTTTCGTTTTATTTTGCTCGTACCAAGTTTTGGTGCGACTATCGAGCCGAGTAACGTGGGAGCCTTTAGCAAGAATATAGGGCTCGCTCGTTCAGCTGACAACTACGGGGGTCAAATTGTTTCTAAGATACAGTTTTGAAAAAATCTTGACTGAAACTGTTTCGCCGGCCAATTGAAATCGGTGCACTTGCGTTTAGACTTTATTTGTTTTATTGTTTTGTGGGGTTCCTGGTGTTTAATGTTGCTTGCCTTGTTTATATGACGAGCATTGACTGGGGATTTTTATGAACGGGGTTCCCCAATGATTGCTTGCGATAGTTGTAATGAATGGTTTCACGTAGAATGTGTCCAAGCAGTAATAAAAAGGCAGAACAAGTGGTTTTGCGAAAATTGCACTGCAGTTGGAAGCGAAACAGAATCACAACATGCCCCGCTGAATAAAAAGAGGAAGGAAATGGCTATGAGTAAGGGTTCTAAAAGGAAAAAAGAGTCTGCAACCTTACAAGGGAAAAGAAAAGCCATTTGCTTGAAACCAGTTGAGAGCCCATGCGAAAAGAAAGTTGCAGTAGACGTTAATTTGAAAAGTTTGAATAAATTCTTACTAGCTTCACTAAAAAATGGGTCAATTGCAGAAAAGCTAGCAATGTTTAGGAATACAAAATTACCGTCCGTTTATGCAGAAAATATGAATTTAGTATTGAAAGAGGATATTACTCTAATCGAAATTTTAGCATCGCACGGGCTACGAAGAGGCTGCCGAAATGATTTCCCTGTTCCTTAATCACAACTACGGTAAAGAGTTGAAAATAAATAAATCCGACTGCGATATGTTGATAATTGTAACAGGGTCATTCCATGCCAATGAGGGACTGTCATGTAATGCACCCTCTCAAATATTCCTGATACTCCTATCAGATACTTAGCATTTTGAGAGCAAAATAACCTGAAAATTTCAAGTTGATATCTTTGCTCATTCAGATATTATAGTTATTTTAATTTTTGCTGATTCAGCATAATATTATCCACATATCCGCCATTTTGAATGTGCAGAGAAAGAATTTGATAGCGACCTCATCATAACCGGTCACCTCGACTCTTGGAGCAACTATTTGACATTAATAAATGCTAGGTTAAAACTATATTGCCTTTATCAAGTACTAAAATAATGATAAAAACAAAATCAATATTATGACCAAAATTCCAAAAACTGTCATATTTTGTTATATTTAATCTCCAATTAACGCTTAACATAAGCCGAAACTTTCATTGGATTCTTTCAAACAACAAGTTATTTTCACAAACACTTACTTTCCCAATTACACCAAATCAAAGACATAAAAAATCATAAAATGATAACATCACCATTTTCTCCACAAATGAAGTTGTTAATCAATCGAACGCAATGCTAAAAGTAGTAGAATCGGTCGAAGGCACTATCTTGCTGTTATCACCAATTGTCGCAGATGAAAATATGATCTTGACTGACCAAATAATACTAAATAAATGGGTATTGTTCTTACCATACATTTGTGATCCGCACGAATATCTTGGTTAAACGCCGGTTCCCGGCAAGAAAATACCGCCCTTAAAATAAGACATCAAAAATGTGCAGTCTCCTTTAAAATTAGATGTGTCACTTCTTTCTCTCTTAGTCTGCTAGTTCACAAAAACCCCTCATCTCGTATAGAAACAACGCAGAAATTTTTTACGCTACTATCTATATAACACAGAAGCCGCCACAAAACAATAAAACCAATATGAGTTCTAAACGCAAGTCACCGATTTAATGGCGCGTGCTAAACATGTTTCTCATAGATATTTTCAAAAATGTATGCTAGAAACAATTTGAAGCACTCGTATTAATGATGCTGGAGTGCACTACATATATCTACTTTCTTCGTGCTAAAGGCTCCACTCGGTTTATAAAATCGGCTCGATTATCGCACCAAATCTTGGTACGAGAGCAAAACTAAAACAAACTTAAACAGTCTTATAATTATTAATTTTTTATGAACGTTTGTTTAAATGTCATGAGATCGTCAGAAAGGAAAATTTATGCTCAATAAGTGTATAGAGTTCCGCGCTACTCTGATATTCTCTATGTCTGACCCCGGGGATGAAGACCTGCTCTCTGCGTAAGCTCGTATGATGTGATGCGAATCCCACAACCGAGGTGGTATTATTCTCAAGATTAATTATTGAAAAGCAAAAAAACGCAATGTGACATGTGACTTGATTCAGAATGCTGCATTAATCAAAGGTTGATTTGCAATCGCTATAGATTAGCGAAACCCTCTTCTTCTACTTCTTGTATGTTCATAAAAATCCCCAGTCAATGCCTCATTTATAAACTAAGCATGACAAAAAACTTAACACACCAGGACCCCACAGAAACCAAGTATACACTAACAAGTTCTAACGCAACGTGCATTTACTACGATTTTCAATTGGCGCTGAGTGCGAAGCGTGTGTTTCAGTCAATATTTTTCAAACTGTATTAATCCAAACATTATTGTGACCCACGTATGTTAGTAGCTGAAAGACCAGAGCCCTCATATTTTATGCCATAAAGGATCCCACGTTTACTCGGAGCTCATTAGTCCACCAAAATGTATCTAGAGCCAAAATAAAAACTGAAACTTTAAACTACACTAAAACTTATATTTTGTATAGTTTTAAATGGAATATACTATTTTAAGTGAGGCTACGCGAATGTCTTTCAATACGGTGTTACAACATGGCCGGTGCTGAAAGTGTATGGCTGAATTGTCTACTGCCGAAAGCCGCTGTGACCTTGAAATAAATTCTAT